ATAAAGTTGAATTAGATGACCTGTGGACCATATCTTTGAGATGGACACTCTAATTATGCCCATTTCTAAGTAGGGTGACTGAGGCACAGAGTGACTGAATAACTTGCCTGGGGTGACACAGTTGGGAAATGGCAGGTATGGGATCTGAACTCAGGCCACCTGAGTTTAGAGCTCCTGTTCTTAACCACTATGCAGGGACAGGGATCTGGATTTAACTCCACATGTATTTGAGTGAGTCAGCGACTCCTGGGCCTGGACGCGGACTGTGAATTCTGGCTCCATCTCTTTTCCCTTGAGTGACCACGCTCAAGCTATTTACTCTTTTCTTAAACCACCTTCATTTATAAAATGAGGTAATAGTAGAACACCCATCTCATAGGGAGTTGTGAGGAATCAGTAATATTCATAATAGTTTTAGCTTATGGCTTGGTACATAGTATGTGCTCCAATAAATGATCTCCCTTATTATCATCACCTATAATGGAGGGCTGATGATATCAGTTATGCATATTCCTCAGTATCGATGGGAAGAAAACTGGGCTGAAAACTCCCCGAAGACAGAAAGTGTTACATGAGGGAGATGCAGCGGAACTTGTCTTCATCCTTCTCTAAAAACTGTAAACCTCACCAGTGTTAGCCTCTCTAGGAAGTACAACTGACACATCATTAGTCAGAAATCAATCATCAATATTTAAAATTTACCTAAAGAATCATCATTTGTTAAATCTGTTGTCTGTCTAAATCATTATTTCAGTCAAATGCCTTTCTTTTTTTCCTAATCGAAACGGTTTCTCCACACAGAAAGGACCTCACTCTGCTCTCCCGGAAGCCAGTTTGACAAACTGAAAGTTCGAATAACTTAGGTTTAGTGGCAAGCCCGCCAGTGTCAGCTGGGATTGTGCTTCACGTTGTGCTTTCTCAGCACTGGGGTGGAACAGTCCCCTCTCCTGGGGGCAGCCTTGCTTTTGTAAGGGGGTGGAAGAAAACATTCATTCTGTTCTTCAAGGACCTTCTGAGGCTGCAATGTTCATTTGAAAAGGAATTGCAAGCAGTTTAGGGGTAGAGCCAGGACAGGAGCAGCAGCGTCTTGCTGACGGATGGCAGA